AGAGAGGTGGGAGACATCTGATGGGAGAGATGACACAATGACAGAGACCTCCCGCTCTCATGAAGGCACACGCTTTCTGCTGCATTTCTGCCTGTGCTGTTTGCTTCTCTCTTATGGGCAAGACAAACCCAACTGACTAGACACACGCTTCTGTTGTAATGTTTTCTGAACATTTTCCATGCTCTGAGTATTATTTTCTAGATTCTCATTAGGGAGTTTGCCTGGACGTCCATGTGGGGAGAAAAGGGACATGTTTTAACTGCAAAAACTGTTGGTTTTCAGTAAATGAAGGCATTTCTTCAGTGAGTGGTGCAACTTAACTTTCTGCTGAACATCCAAAGTAGAGTGAAGAGTTGCACCTCGCAGGTCAAACCTTCTCCAAGTGAAAGGACAACATGTCAAAAAAAACCTCACCTGGAGTAATTTGGAAAAAAGTGCAATACCTCAGCAATTCTCATTGCACAGTGAGAGCGTAAAGTGGCTACCATGCATAATAAAAATCAGTGATAAACCCCCCAGCCTCTTCTCTTTCTTCCTTTGGGTGCAATTCCAAGTGTGCAGAGAGCTGGCCAACTGCCTGTACACTGCTGAAATGCCACAGCCACCCTCAGGACAGGGATTCAATAACGTACCGACAGCGTGCTGGGCTTCTGGAGAGAGATGAATTTCACCCTTCCAGGTCACCATTCAGAACAAGGGACCGGGATGCCTCCTATCCATTTTGGCATTAACCTTCTGTCTCTAATCAAAACCTTGTGACACAAAAGACGCTGGAGAACAGTTCTGAGTCTTCCTCCTGGTGAGGATCTCGGCAGTGTGGCTGGCTGAACGCGACTGGCCCTGTAACCTCTTTCTTCAAAAGTCTACTCTTTTCAAAATAACCCGCATTATAAAAGCAACTCCTTCCTGGCTGGCTGTACACCCAGCCTGTGCTGGTGATGAGTGGAATAAAACACTCGTTATCCTCAGACAGGTTATCGCAGTTCGTGCACAAACGCAGTGCTCTCGAGCACCCCTTGGCTTTTGTAAAAATGTAGTTTATTTCACTCTTCACCCCATATATTCTCTCTCTACATATAAATACTGTATATCCAGTACAAGGCACATACAGACAAAACCAGAGGAAGACCACTACCATTCTAGGCACTTGTGTAGTACTTAGTCCATCTCCACCACAGTGTACTAGAGGTTGGGTGAATGCAAAACAACAGAGGTAACAACAGGCTGAGGAGCGAGTCCAGGCAGGTAGGGTTGTGTTGGGATGTAACTGCAGCGCTCGTAAAATATACCCATTGCTACATGCATGGACCGGACTACTATGCCACATTTACCCTCCTGTGTCAGGCTACCAGCTCCGCAAGCAGCCGACTCAAAGTTGCTGTTACATTCCTCGGTCAAAGTTAACGGAAGCGAGGGCAACCCGGGTAAAATCCCAGAAGGAAACATGGCACTGAGAGGGCATGCACGAAATATGACAGGAGTGACTCGTTTCATTCGGTTTAGTCACATACCTCTTTCCCCTGCCAGGATCATCCAAGATTGAATGAACAGTAGAAAAACAGGGAGGAAATTTAAATATGCAATCAGGCATTAGTTGGGTGTTGTGGATTGTTGTGTATTATCAATCAGTTAAATTATACTGCAAATTTAATATACACTGGCATGATTTTTAGGTGATTGTGAAATTATTTATCAAAGGCTCTTAATGCAAAATATAGTGAGTATCTACATATCAATGGGAAGGAAAAGAGAAAATAGTGAATGAGTGTTACATTACCTATAGTCATAAACAATAACTGCTCACTCTGAATTTTAAAACGATTAACTTTCCAACACCGTATCCAAGAGCACCAGATCTATCGAGAACTCAGGGCTCAATCCTGCAAATACTTACACAGGTATGCAACATCACTTGCTTGGGCAGAAATGTCCTGATGTGCTGAGGGCGGGACTACAGCCAGCAATGTCAGCTGCCTGTGGGGTCAAGTGTTTCCAGGATCAAGCTTCAGGATTTTCTGGTCTATATTTGACTATGACATGGTTTCAGTGGTTTTAAAACATGAATCTCTCTTTTAAAGTGCTTTGAAGAGTTAAGAGTAGTTGTATTGGGCCTTAGATAACCCAAATAATGAGTAACAGAGAATAATTCATGGGAACCTTCGTGACTAGTAATTGAGCTATTCCCAGTAAGTTGAGGCAGAAGAGGCCAACAGGAAATCAGGTGAGTTAATCATGTACTGCAGGGGCCCAGAGAAACCCCTGGAAACAACCTGGATGCTCAGAAAGGGGCAAAAAAGAGAATTGTTTTGTTTTGTTTTGTGGTGGTTTTCCTTGCTCCAGCTCTGGAGAACAGGAGCAGTAAGCTGTTGCAGGGACCCAGCTCGTGCTGTCTGGAGGCACAAACACATGTCATTATTTGGAAATACGACCTTTCTGAAAAGTGGACAGGCTCGCTCTTGTATGTAGTTGGTGGTGAATATATTTGGGCCAGATTTGGCTCCTGCTGGCGCTGATTCATCCTTTAGCCCTCCCTCCCCTCTGCAAAAGCAATCTCCCCGAACTGCACTTTGCCTTCATCGCACTCAAGCACCATTATTTAAGAAAACTTATGGCTTTTAAAGAAGAAAACCCAGCACCAGTTGGGAAGACATCACACAAATACACACAGCTCCCAGCAAGCCACCGGAGCTGCTGAAGACCTGGGGGACACGACCTCGCAGGACGCCGCGGCTCACCTCCGCATGGTGTTCTTCGTTTTGCTGTAGGACTTCAATTACCAATTCTGCCAGACGTATTGTATCTTCTAACTTTTTAGCTGGTGTGACTAACCGGCCTACATTTTCTGTAGTACAAGAACTCGAGTTAAAAGGGAGGCAGAATGAAAAGCTAGACGTACAGTAAGTTATTTTAGAGGTTTAAAAAAAAAAAAAAAAATCCCATAATATTTTACAGCTTTAAAGATCTTTTCATGCATATGTTAAATGCTTATATAATTAGTACTGAGCAAACCAGAAAGCCACATTCGTTATTATACTATGAAAATACAGTGCTCCAGCTCCAAATTTCACAATACTGTCAGAGTTGTTTTGCTTTATGATGAGATGATGGCACTTTATTAGCTCAAATAAGAACATTGCATTCCCTAAAGACAGCATCTGGCCACTAATACACGAACAGTATGTATCCTTCAATGTAGATGATGCTATTATAGAAATCATGTCTATAGTATTTTAAAATTCTTTTAAGAAGATCAATTCAAACAAATCTGTCTGTACTTTTAATAAATTGTCACACTCGAGCAATTGAAATGTCAGCTGCCACTGAAAGCAAAAATCGCAGGTCTGCCTTGCTCCAGGATTTAAACTTCACAAGGGTCAAGGAGTTACGCATGCTGGAAGGAGTGGAAAGTGCTAAATCCCACTAGGCGTTCATAGGTAAGATTTATATGGGAAAAGAGATGCAAATTTACAGCAAAAAACCCCGCAAACAAACCAAAGAGTTTAAATCCTGGAGCTTGGGGTGTTTCGCTATATTGAGTTACTTGGCAGCGTTTTCTGAAGACTTTTAAAAATAATTAAATTTTTCTAGTTGATTTATATTATTAATAACATATTAAAGATCTGAGGTGCTAATAATCTGGAACATTTAGAGTATTTAACTAGAAATAATAAAGAGAAAAATAAACTAATCACATTTTAATTGAGTGACAGGGCTGGCTGAGTGCAATTGAGGAGGTTTCTGGGAGCTCACACCACAGCTCTTCCCTGAAGTGTGCAAAGTCTCCCTGCAATTGTCACCCCAAGGAGAAGCAGACCAGGAGACCTGCTCCCTGGGGATCCACCTACACTGCAGCATGTTCCCATGTTAACTACATTCGTGTCACTCCAGTTAACAACTAGGTGCCAATCCCAGCTCTCTAGTGCAGCTAAGGCAAAGAACCTCATCACACTTTGGTAGCTACACCACCCAATTCATACCTCTGCACCCAGGTATGTTTTGGCCTCTCCATGATATCAAAGCTGGAGACTTCATAAATGGGTGAAGTACCAAAAAACCCAAAACTAAATAGCCAAATTGATCTGCTACAATTAGCAGTGTACAACAGACCGCATGTGCCCAACTCAGCAAAACATCAGTGCATGCATCGAAGTGCCATTACTAGAAACCACTCTGGGATTTCCAAAGGAGCCCAGCTAAGCCAGCAGCTTGGGTTGTGCTGACATGCAAGGTTCTGGGTGGACATCTTGCTCCAGCCTCCTGCATGCACTAGTTTTTGCCAATGTTTAGGTCTTCTTTACTGATGGGACAGAAATCTGTGTTTGAACACAGAGATGGCACCACTCTGCTGTCCTGGGTCACCTAGGGAGAAATCCTGTCCTTGCTGAAGGCTCGGTGAGCTTTGAGGACTTAGTTCTGCCCCTCAAAATCTTGCCTGCTTCTGAATCCTGAATACTTGTTTACAAGGAAAGTCGTAGTTTTCAAAACGGTCACATTTGGGTGGTTGAGTGAGGGGAACACAGGCTGGTTTTCAGAGGAGCTCAGCAACCTGCTCAGCTGAGGTCTGGCATTGCGGGTGCTCAGCTCAGCTGAGACATGCAATGTGGGAAAGCACCAAGCAAATGAACTCTACGTTTTTGTTGATTCATGCCACAGATAGGGGCCTTAGGGTTTTCTTCTCCAGTTTTCCTTTTGTTTCAACAAACAAACAAAAAAATCCAGGCTCCCCTTAACATAATTTATTGGGCAAATACTGAAACTGGAGATCTACTGGTTAACCCCTCATTCTTTCTCCTATTCAATCCAGCACCTTACTGACTACAAGAAGGAGAAACCTCTTCCTTTTGTACAGAAGTAGTCCAAAGACACATCCCTTAGCAATCTCTGGTTGTTTCTGCACCTCTGAAGCCAAGGGGAAGCTTCTCCATTGATCAGAGCAGCATCAGGCCCGTTCTCATTTGCAACACTGATCTGCTCTCAAATACAACTAAAAGACAAAAGTGTTAATAAGAACAACTGCTCAGAGATGCTGTCTTTAAAGAAAATATTGATGCTTATACAACTTTGGCAGCCAGCAGATGTCAATCTTAATTTTTTTTCTTCTTATTTTAAATATTTCCCTGGTTAAGTTACTATACATCAGAATATTCTGCTAAGATAGCTGGAGCACTGACAGTTACATGAAACGTATACGATATACTTATCAAACATTTCATCCAACATCATGTAAAGCTCATACATATTTATAGTTTTCATGCAAAATGTTATGCAACAACAATGTTATTTTGTGCTGACGTTGATATTTGAAAATGTTGCATATGTCAGACATTGCTAGACAAAAAAATGTGGACATTTTGAAATAAATGCTACCTCTAAATCTCTAAAACCTACCCACATCGCGCTAGGTATTTTGTGTAAAGCTGCACGTGAGAACTGGCTTTCTACTTCTACACAAGCAACTGCTAGACTAGAAAACCACTGAATAAAAGGAAGAAAGACGATTACAGTACTTGGCGGCTGTTTGGCCATGCCTTTGAGCATATGATCTATCATGTTAGTCTGCGTTTGAGGAGATGATGGTGGCCCAGCCGGTGGCTTAGGCTTGGACGGACGGGCTGCTTGTGCATGACAGAGACGCCAAAAGTAAAGAGACAAATGACTTCATAAACAGTGACAAAAAGATGGAAACTTCGAAAGGAACATAAGCAGAAATGATCAAATACAAATGGAATAAGCTGCTGGGTTTTTGCTTATAGGTACTTCAAGTATTACACAGTAATGACACCATTTGACAACACATATTCCAGAAGTCAGCAGATTTGAACGTCCTACAGTACTGTGCAATCAGAAAGCTAAAAATTCAGCACAAAAATGAAACTGCACTTCATGCAGCCACATGAGGAAATTGAAATAGGTTAATTCAGTTAAAACTCTGGAATTCAGAAAAGGTGAACTAAAAAAGATGACTTTAAGTCAGTGCCCCAGTGCTTAGGTACATTTAGCAATAGAATAATGAGCCACAGGAATTAATTGCTTTGCAAATATCAATTACACATTTTAGAATTAAACGTCACTGTTGGTTAAAGGGAGCTATAAAATATTCTTGTGCAATTTAAACATGTAAAAAAATCTGTCACTTAAAAATGTGTGGTTCCTGATCGTTTCCAGCTCATTTAATTATTTTCAACTTGGAATTCTAGTGGCTTTTATATTCTGGGTTGAATCATATATAAAAACTTGCCAGCTCTATCAAATATGTTACTTGCTATTCCAAATGTTAGAATACTGCAATCAGGACTTGACCCATCTGTCATATAGTTTACAATATCAGCATAGGAAAAATTCAAAGAAAATAGCCTTTCCTTTTACATACACTCTGAGAATAAATTATATACTGTGAATATATTAACACAATAGTTTCTATTCCATTTAATAACAGTTTTTAGCAGCATTGTGACTATTTTTAATAATGCCATTTGCAAAGAATCTGGCATATTTATCTGGACATTCTATTGCCAAAAGTCCTTGCCATTTTGCTTGCATTTTCCAGCGGGGGGAAAAAAAAATCAGTTGGCTTGTGCAAAGTAGATTTCTGATTGCTTTTAATTCTCACAGAATTATAACACTGATCAAAGTATAATAAAGAATATTCGAGTAAACCGTTAGTTACAGAGTATGAGTTGCTGATTCCCCTCCCCATACACAGAGATAGATATACATACGTACATAAACACACACACAATGCGCACGTGCACACACACACACGCACACATATTTTTAGTCTTTTAAGCTGTGTAGTGATTTAATGCAGACTCTTAGATTCAAGTTACTGGTTTATGGCTTTTTTTTTTTTGTTGTTGTTGTTTTCTGATAACATGAAAAGCAAATCTATTTGTTCATCTCTGGAGTCATCCTGATCCTTGTTCAATGTTTACCAAGGGTGGCTTTGTCCCCAGAAACAAACCTCTCAGCCTCAAGTGACAAAAATAACTGCTTTTTGGGCACTGGCCTAATGACTTTCACTCTAATTTAAAACATAAGCAAGAATTGAATTTGGCTACTCACTGATGGCTCCTGAGCTCAACATGTAGATGTAGGAAGAATTCGTTACTGCCCATCACTATGGAGAGCAGTTTGTGCCAAGGTCCCCACATGGGACAGGACCACGGGGAGCGGGGACTGCACGTCTCCTCTCACCCATGTCTGGCAATTGCGTGGTGGGAACCCCTCATCACCCAGGGGAGTCCATTGGGCTCCATATTGGGAGAGTCAAAGAGGGATTGCTCCTCCTAAGAGCGTCAAAGCCAGGGAAAATCACATCCTGGAATTGCATCCTACTGTGACCCTCAAGCACCCTTAAATGTGAGTCCAGCCCCTGCGTCACCAACAGCTGCCCATGGAAAAATATTTCGGACTTCACAGACATCCACCACCACCACCCACTCTTGAAAACAAGCCTCCCCAAGGGATTACAGCAGGTGAAGAAACAAACTCTTGATGCAATCCTGATCTGGCCCAATCTGCACAAATATTCAGCTCTTTTTTTTTTTGTTCATTTAATTTCTTCAGACCCAAATCCAGGGCTCTTGGCACAATAGCTGCAAAACCACCTGGAGCTGAAGGAGAGGAGAGGAAGAGCTCTCTCCCTTCCTCGGGGCACTGAACACCTTGTAAATCCTGACTCACATTTTTCTTTGTCGCCTCCTTATTGTAAGAAAATTTAAAAGAGTAAGGAAAGTGATTAATTTAATCTGTAAATTCAAGTACAAATGGGGCCATGACTGCAATGCCTTGTGAGATGCTGGACTTTACGTGCATCTCTGGGTCCAGGTCTCAGAGGTGATA